GTGGGCAGCCACTATAGCTTAGTGAGCAGGCCCGGTACACTGTAGCATATGAGAGAGGGGATGTGGTTGAGGTTATGGTTGGGGGTGTGCCCCTAGCCCTCGGAAGAAAGATGGACATTTAAAGCTCCGTACAAGCTACTAAAATCCAGTTCCTACAAACTAGGTGCGCAAGCACAAATATGACAAATTTTGATGGTTGGTTTGTAGTTGGACCGCCTACAAATTAACCCAGGTGCACGAACACAAACATGTCAAATTTGATAAGGCATGTTTTTATACTAAAACCTGAAATCTCAAAATTTTTGGAAACTCACATCATAGGTTGGATTATCCTTTGGAGGCTCAAAATTGTAGAACAAGCCAGAGCACCCTCTCATGGCATCAACGATGCTCTGATAATCAAACGGATCGGATCGAAATATCCTCAGGTTGTTGCTCCTCTCGTTAGAGACTCCTTTGGATATATTGAGATCACCTAATGAAATTTTTTTAAACATCAACATAAAAACAGAGTTGAGTCAGATCACTTAATTAAAGATAGATTTCTGAATCATGATGCGTTGAATTAACAACTACTAACCATGGTCGCAAAGGGCAGCATGAACGGTGTATCCTCGCCGGAGGAGGCTCTCGACCAAAGAGGCCCCGAGGCGGCCGGATGCGTCCATTACACAAACGGTCTTGGAGCTCAGCCGGTGCCATGGCACAAATGGAAAAATATATATTTAGCTTAATTAAAAGATGTTGGGGTTGGATTAGTATGTAATTAATTTGATGGATAAGAGAGATTTTAAGGAGCTAATGAGTTTAGCGTGCGCGTGTTTATATATAGATGAAGAGGAAAGGAGAAGGAAGGTGCGATTTGTAAAGAATGGTGGCGGCATTGAAAGGAAAGTGGAAGTAGACAGGTGGGAGATCGAGGAGAGGGTGGTTGTTAGCTTGCTACATGGTGAGGTTGAGATATGAGGTTGTTAGCTTTTTGGTGAGTTTGAGATATATGTAAGAAAGATATATATATAGGTCAAACTATCTACCTGTTAACGTAACGTTCACTGGACAGCTGGTGCTTTAAGAGTTTTCGGGTTGGATTACTACGTAGCGGATATAAAGATTAAATGTATTGAACAATTGCATGTTTGATGTACCGGTTGTTCTGTGGAAGTTGAGAGTCGTAAACTATTTGGGTATGTTATCCGCCGGATGGCTAACATTTTGAGGTACTATCTGGCATTGACTTTTAAGTTTAACATAATGATGCTTGGGTTGCGTACGTACCGACTATCCAATAAACATAATCGACTGGATATTCCCTGAAAAATTAAAGCATATATTTCTCGTTTTCAAAATATGTATAAAAGAACAAAACAATAGGGATTGGGAGAAGTAGAAAAGTGAAGCTTACTTGGATAACTTTACTTACATTGAAATTAATGAGATTTGAAGAGAAGGGGGGGTGAATGGGGCCAAATCTTAAACCATCCCCCCCAACCCCCAACCCCCCCAAGTGGTAGTTGCAACTTGTGATGCCAAATTGTGACAGTTAACTGTACATGCACTTCTCTCTTATCACAACCCTCTGGAGTTGTGATTTGAGAAATTTGCTTTGCTGTCCCACGCTAATTAACCCACTTGTGCAAACTTCTTGGTAACTTCTACACTCATTCCCTCATCCAAACAATAAAAAATGTTGGATTATAGTTTGACACGTTATCTATCTACGAAATGATGTGGACTTTGTGTAGTTGTAAATTTTCAACTCGTAGATAATTAGCTTATAAAGTGCGCATAAAGAGAATTGGTTTTCCTTGTTTTAGAAGCTTATACGTGTTTAGCATTTCAGTAGCATCACGTGATTAATTAATCGGTTAGAAAAAGCTTCTTGGTTGAGTATTATTACATGCTATTTTCTTGAATAATTTATTTTCTAACGCAAAACTTTTTTAAGGCAAAAAGAAAACTGCGTAGAATACACTCAAAATATGCTGCACTGTGTTCACTAAAAATTCCAATATAAACATACCGCTGACGCAGAATTACGTACGTTGACCTTCTAAAATGCGAGTATTTTAAAAAAAAAAGAAAACAAGCATATAAAAACAAAAAAGTCCGACCTACCGGATTCGAACCAGTGACCTAAGGATTTATCTGCCACAAACTACAGTCCTCCGCTCTACCAACTGAGCTAAGGTCGGAATACGAATTCCTCGTTTAAGAAAATTATAAAATATTCCCTATTTACCTCAATTGTAAAATAGGTCACCTAAATTGACCAAGGTTTACAAAAGTTTCAACTAAATGGCCTAAAGTTTAAAACGTTAATGTTCTGGTAGAAAATTCTGGGCATATTATCATGTGACACTATGGGGTCATTATTACTCCTAATATGTCATTAGTTTACACCCTACTACCCTTAATGTTATATTCTTTTTCCTCCTCGCCAAACTAAAGCTAAAGCTAAAACTTTTGCATTGTGACCCCTCAATTCGGTGCAATAAAATATGAAGGAAAGAGGAGACAAGGATTTGAGAAATTTATCTTAGAGATGAGACCCTAGCCCAAAATTCTAGGCAAAGTGCACAAATTTCCCTTTCCTGCGGTTTGAATTGAGTCAATGTGCCATCCAAATTGAGATCTCAAGTTGCTAGAGAAGCTTTTGAGGGCATAGTAATTTTGGAGAAGATGAGGAAGTGGGGTGTTTTCCGCTATTGTCTAAATTACAAATAACCCCCTCTTTTATACATTCGTAGCATTTGGGAGGGGATACTTTTGTCTTTATGTGAAATATATAACAGCATCAGCATTCAACATTCAACGGAAAATACTATAGACCATTTAAGTGCAACGTCTTTACAAAAGGGTTCAATTTAAGTGAAAAAATGGGAAGCCATAGGACATTTCTAGCGCAATTAACGCCTTTTTAAACCTTAAATTCTACCAACTAATTAAATATGCCCCGACATAAGTTTTTGATAAATGCTAGAGAGTGTGCATCCTGTCAGAATAAACTGCACAGTGTGGGACGTTCTGAACCGCGGAGATGTCAGATGGTATTGGCATTGATATTTTAGTATCTTCTTGGATGGATTAGATAGCCCTATCGTCACACGGGGGGTGTTCTGATAGAAATATTACTCTGTGCTAGGTGAGCCCCTCAAAACACATTTACGATATTATTCATTGTGGACATATGGCTGTCATAATAAAACAAACCTAAATTTTGACACAAATGGAAAACCAACTCTCACTTATTCCTAGTCCCCTAATTCCTATGCGTTCATTATACCGACGTACATATCATCATAAATCTACATGCATATTTTAATTTTAGCTAGGTCAGGTTTCTTTTCATGATGGGGTTGGCTTGTATTTATTGGTACCTATACACTGAGGGCCATCGGTGCGGTTGAGCGATATTAATGGTTCAAGTGCAAAAAATTAAATTCAGTTAGGTTTGTGTTTTGTAGTTGAACGTAAACCTGTTTGATTTTGTTTTGGCTTCTTTGATTATGAAACTTCCAAAAGCTTCTGGATATTGTTGATGTCGATATTTACCATGTATTCTAGATTTTGCTACAGGATTGTCATCTAAATCTTATAAATGATGTTTAAAAAAATAGAGTAACTACAAATCTGACGAAAGTTTGAGGGAGCATATACATACGAAGGGGGGCAAAATTACATTTAGAGAAAATATTTTAAAGTAGACCCATTTAAAATTCTATTCCTCAAGATCAACTCATTTTAAATTTATATACAAAAATCGACCAGTTTCTACAATGTCGGCAGCGCAGGCTAAAACTGAGTTGATTTTTAAAAAAAAATTATGTTTCTTTTTAATTAGTCGGTGTTGCCAAATTACGGTTCAAAATAGTGAATAAAGTTATTAGTTAGGGTCGGCAACTTCGAATAATTAGCAAGGAATGTTATGAACTGGTTAAACCCGAGTCAATTTTTTGCAAATATGTTTGAAATGAATTAATTTTGGTGGATAAAGTTATAAATGGGTTCAGTTTTGAGAATTTCTCCTTACTTTTATGCTCAGCCGGAACGTTGCAAATATTTATGCAATGGTGGGCCTATAATTTGGTCATAATGGGACCCAGCTTCTTCACGCCACATCTTTGACAAACCCCCACCCATCGGCTACAAACTATATGGGCCGGGCCTTTTACCTAAACCCCAAACCTTGCCTTATCTTAGAGCCCAGTCTTCACAAGCTGCGATGAACCTTTTAACGAAGGGAACTTCGTCTTATTTGCAGAAAATCTTCTTATTGGCCAAATCTTAACCAAATGAATAAAAGGTTTTTTTTCTTTATTACTTAACTCCGACGACAACACTTGACCAATATTTAGCAAAAAATATAATTTAGCACGAATATGAACATAACTACTCACTAAAATTAACCCAATGAACCTGCCTAGTGTTGGCATCTACAGTGTAACAAGAGACCGTACATTTGAATGAAACAATTTCACACAAAGAATCGAAGCATCCATGGCCTATTAAAAGATCAAGACCAACCAATTCCAATCACCCAATAAACAATCAGATTTTTGGTAGCTAACAATGGCAACACTATTATGTACAGAGGGTTGCACACCTAACAATGCATGCAATCAGTTGTTCTTGGGTCTCAATCTTGTTTCGCACCCTTCTTCTTGATTCTTGCTTATTAGCGTTGGAGTCACCGAGACGATGCCGATGAGGAAAAGTGTAGCTATGGATTGAACATCATAAAGGTCACCCAGTGATTTCAAATCGCCAAGCGCAATGCCCGCCTGCATAACGGAACAGAGTGCTAAAAAGATATCACACAAAAGGATAACATCCTGACATGTCACAAATCTTGATGCACGTATCAAGAGTGTCTATAAGTGCACAAGTGACACTCAATAGTATGTTTGATGCACATATCAAGAACATCTATAAGTGCGTAAGTGACCTCACTAGCATGTCATGTGTTAATATTTGTTTGTAAAAAACAAGATAGTCCCACATTGGAATTTTGAACATTCTTTTAGAGGTTTAAAAGCATTGAATGCTTATTGGGCTTTGAATAATGGATCAAAGTGTAGGCTTCTAAACCCGCGTGCGGGTAGCGCGAATAATGCGCGATTTTGACGCGATTATGACGCGATTTTTAATATTATTTAAAATTTTAAAAATTATGAAAAGACAAGACTGTTGAAAAGTGGCTGTTTAATCCAAGGGGTGTTTTGAAAAGTTGTGACTGTTGGAAGCACATTTTCAAAATCTATAAATAGTTTATATTTTCAGATATCAAACAATTCTTTTTCTGAATCTTTTCTATCAAAAACTTCTGCAATATTACAAACTTGTTTCACAACGAATTAAGGAAAATTCCAGATTTGCTTACTGGAATTTTCATTTTCTGTTGTATCCTGGGAAGAAAATTTGCATTAACCCGAAGCAACTTTGAATATCAAGTGGGGGCAAATATTTCTTTAAGGAAAGTGTTTCACGCCTCATAATTTCTGTCTCCTTCAATATTAAAACTAACATCATGCGCCACTCTCTCCTTCCTCCATATATAAGGTTCTATAGAACGTCCTCTATAGGTGATTTTTTTTTATTTTTTTTAAAATTTCTTATTATTTTTATTTTGGTAAAATGATGTGCCATACCCATTTCACCTTGTAGAAATCACGGACAAGACAATGAGAAACATCGGGATGAAGAATCATGTACATACCTTTACTGTCACAAAACTGGCTGGGATGAGGCCGATCATGGTCGCCAACAAAAATACAGGGTATGGTATATCCACAATAGGTGAAGCTACATTGATAAAAGTATTTGGCAATGTAGGGGTAACTCTGAGGAAAACCATGTAGTTCAATAGCTTCTGTCTTCTTTTAGCAACCTGAAAGGAACTTAGTTCGATCAGTAGCAGAACGAAGAATTCAAGACGATTTCAAGAGGGAGAGAGAGTTGAACCAGCAATGACTAGATAAGTTCATACAAAAAGAACATTTTCGTATAATGTCAGAAGGATTTATTTTAATATGTATTTAATTCATTGTCGTACTTAGAAGGAACTTCTTAAAAAGCGTTTTTTTTTAACTCATTTTCTAAGGAAATAACTTACACTGATACTAGACTCATAATTTCCTAAAGCACGATGAATTACAAGTGTTCGATAGAAAACCCTCATTCATTCACTAGCTTAGCCTGAATCTATAAGAATATTGCAGTAAACATAGAATATTGTACAGATGTCGAGGCCAAATTTTACCTGGGCTTGAAAAAAGCTCAGTTTATCAGGCCACATCGAGAAAACTAACGGCCTCCCAATCAACTTCGACAGGAAAAAGCAGGAAGATGCACCAGCTGTGGCAGCAAAGACTACCAGAGCTACACCACGGAAAACTCCAAAAAGGGCTCCAGCAAGAAGAGACATGAAAATTGTCCCGGGAATCATGAAGGTCTGCATAAAAATGTAGACTGTACAATACCCCACCAAAACTTGAAAGGTGTAGTCACTTGTATAACTCTCAAGATGATCCCTGCAATAATAAAGAAATAGACAAGTAATGTCAAATGAGCCCCTCTCATAAGAATAATTTGACATGTACTCTTCACATAAGAAGGATACAAGCAGAATATTAAGGAAACAAAACTACTTCTTTTCCATTTGTAAATGAAACCAAATAACTAATGGTAGACCTAAGAGGTAAGGAAAGTGATAACATTATAGTTAACGGGGCAAAGAGACCTAGAGGTAGACCTAAGAGGTAAGGAAAGCAATTAAGAAGGATATGATAATGGTTATCTTAATGGAGGAGATGGCCCATACCAATGGAAGAATAAGATTCATGATTCATGTAGCTGACCCCAAACTTCTGGAATAAAGGCTTCGTTGTAGTTGTTGTAAATGAAATTGAATCCATCGAGAGAAGATAAGCTTAATGAAAAGGCAACTTTACACTCACAATGGAAAAATTTACATGCATTAACCTTGAACAAGGCAGAGAACTCTGAATTTGGTGATAACAAATGTTTTTCCCTAATGGACTGTTGACAAACGGATAATGCAAGCAACAGGACATAAAGGTAAACATCCACTAACTTAATAAGTTAGCAAAGTCCTTAATCTAATACCAACAACCTATGCTTTTAGGTAAAGTATACAATCGCTCTTAGAAAATTAATTATACCAATCCATGTCTGGATCTTGAACCTAACATACTCTTAAACCAAGAATAAACCAAAAATGCAGATCCGACAAACTTCTGGAGAATAATGGAATTCTTTTCAAGCTGCCGTATGCATAAAATCATGCCACAAGCATTGCTCATTATCACATAAACGTTACCATTTCGTTCCTACTAATTTATCGGAATGTTATTAAAATATTAATTAACTTTGGGGAACATCACAATTCCACAGGCTTCTCTGTTCAATGTTGTTTAATTGCAAGTGGAATCCAATTGGAAAAAGAAATCTCAAAACCAACATGAACAAGAACAAAGTAAATACATTCCTATTTTCCCATAAAGTATTAAAAAAAATCCAATACATTGCATGAATCTTGTTCGCCCATTCTAAAATTTTTTTGGAGAGCTCCAGTGGTCTCCATCATAAGAGCATCTCCAACAGCTTCGCCATTTCCTACTTTTGGAGAATTTAGTTAGGTTTTTGGTCCAATAGATTCCCTATCTCATTCCCCAAAATATGGATGGAGAAGAAAAAATAGGGAAGCTTCCCCAAATCTGCAGCATTCTCCAAATTTTTGGAGTAGATTCTTCAAAATGAGGAAGCTGTTGGAGTTGGTGTAAAAATTAGTTGGAGAATATGACTTTTGCTTCTCCATTTTGGAGAAAATGTTAGAGAAGCCGTTGGAGATGCTCTAACATTTATTTACTGTGCAATTTTATTCTATACAGAGCATAAACAAATCTAATATTTACTGTTCCATTAGAACGTCCAAATATTCCAAACGTAAATAAACCAAATCTTAAAACGAACCCACATCTAGTATCCATAAAAATCTCCCAACTTTACGTAAAAATTTGTTTCTCATTATAATTTATTTAAAACCCCAGATATGAAAACCCCTCAATGACCCCAATTTGTCATCAAAATCCAAGCTTTCCAAGCCAAAAAAAAACCAACAACAAATTACCTCAAAATTTGAAGCTCTTCTAGGGTTCGAGGCAGCTTCAGGAAGCTGTAGTCCGACGCCGGCATCGACAAATAAACGCCAAAAAGCCCCAATCCAAAGCCCAACACAACGCTGAAACCCATCGCAGCCTCCATTCTCGAGAGCGGGAACTTCGATCCTTTCCCCATCTCCTCTGTTTTCTGCTTCGGAGAGAGGAAAAGATCGGAAGTTTTAAATTTTGAAGAAGGAAAAAAGAGGAAGAGATCAAACCCTAATTTCTCCCTCCTTTTTTTCCTTCTTATTTATTTATTTATTTATATTTTTTCGTGTTTTTTTGGGTTTACAATGGATAGCAATTTAAGGGTCCTGGGGAGGAGGAGGAGAGGTATATTCGTTTTTTGAGGCGGATGCGGCGGAGTCGGATACGTTATCGTGTTCCGAAGGGATAGGGGGGTTTTGAGGGTATATTGGGAATGTTGTTATGCCACGTCGGCAGTAGTGTACACGTAACCGACAACGAGGAGGTGTTCGTACGATCCATGAATCATTGAATTATTAAACGCCCTTTACATTGTCGGGACAAGTATTTATATTTTGATAAGAAAAATGATACGGTCACACCCTCGGTTACACCTCCGGTCGCACCCTCTAACTACAGTTGTCGGAGGTACAGTTGTCAGACCTGGAGGTGTGCCCGAGGTTGTACCTGTAGCACCCCCTTTTGATAACGTGTGTTCTTTTTTTTTAATCCTTGTGAGTGACAATTCCGGTTTGTTATTTCTAGGATTTGAATTTAAAATTTAGGTACTCCGAACCTTATTAATGAGGTAATTTGGTTGCCACTCGGACACGTTCCCAACTCAAGGAATCATCTCTCTCTAGAAAATATTGAAGATGTAATACAACCTTTTATGTATGGAGATGATGAGTTATAATATGAATTAATTACAATTTGGCACCTTGAAGTATAGTGTAATTCTGCAGGTGACTCTTAAGTTTGTGTATCAGTATGGATGACAGTGAGTTTAACAATTGCAGTACTGTAGTGACCTAGAGAGATGGTTTTCATCTGGGCGTTTGTGACACACCAGGGTGATCCATGCATGTAATTACTACAATCTCAGGATTATTGGTGTAGATTCGCAAGCCCTAGGATCCCTCCGATAATAACACCATATCTAAGGGTACTGGAATGTAATTTAGTCTTTATAATATCTTCAACTTATGTATCATATGATAGATTATAGTACTCTTATGTATCGGTACAAAATCATTAATGAGAAAAGTGAAATTTCTAAACCGACACCTTACTTCTCTCTTGTTGTTTCAGAATAATTCATTTCCAAAGTAATAAGAATACGATATATTCAAAAGGAATTAGAAGAACTTTGCACTATACTTTAGTTTGGCAATGTTTTTTGAGAGTTTTCTTATCTATTGCCAATACATTTTTCGCAAAAAAAAAGGAAAAAAAACTTTATAAATAAAAAAGGTTATATAGCTACATAAATTCTAGAGAACGTGAAAAGGACATGTCACCCATATAATCATAATAAAATATTCCTCCCATGTGCATCACGTTCTCACCCGCTCACCCGTCCATTTTTTAGAGCTAGGGTAGGCTACATGTGAGGTACGGTTTGCTTGGTAATTCCCACAGATTAGAGGGGTGTTTTGGTCAAATTAGAAATTCTAGCGACAAAAAAAAGTTTTAGGAGAAAGCTAATTATTTAAAGTTTAAGTCACGTGCGGAGCAACAAATTGCTTTCACGCGATCCACACTGATTTGGATTACGTACAAATGAAACTTTCGGTTATATTATTATATTTCTCTCAAATATCAGAACACGCTGTGCGGCCTACATCACGAAACACCAATGTTCTTGTGGCGTCGAATAGTACAAGAGAGCTTCACTCAGAAAATGATGGGCCACAATTGGACAGCCCAAGCTTCTCAGTTGATTAGGGGGCGTTTTTTTCATATCCTACAGTTTTAGGATATGAATTTCATCGTGGTATTTAAAATCCATAGGTAATTTGTTATGGGTTACGATTTCTAAAATTTTATTTATTTTAACAATATATTAGGATTTGGAATGCTATAATTTGTAATATTTTTGTTTGTTTTAAATTTTTTGGAATTTGAAATCATTAATTTGCCTAACACTTTTGAAATCCACCACACATCCCACCCTAAAAAGATGATTTCACAAATCCTTAAATATAATACTTTTTTTTATTATTTGGGGATTTGATATTTTAAAATTTGTTTTGAAACAAACAAGTTTTATGGAATTCTAAAACCCAAAAAAACCCACTTTTTGATCCTAGAATTTGAAATCCCACCCAAACGTCAATTTTTTTTTGAAACAAACACCCCCTAAGACCTGAAGTGTAGGCCTAGCCCTTTTTTCCTATTGATTTTTTGATCTTTTTTTCTAAGCGAAAAAGGTTGTGTGTGTATAATTGTATAGAAAAAATTCCTTGGGGACCCTAAATCATGAGACCCAAGGGGGGACAGGTGAGGTGTCAACCCCTGGGTGCATGATCTACTGTTCATGCACTCAATGGTTGACACCTCACCTGTCCCCTTGGGTCTCATGATTTGGAGTCTCTGTAGAACAATTCAATTGTATATCCACTAAAGTCTAAAGGACTTATAATGACTTTGAACTTGGCTATCAACTCCCAACTAAAAGTAACAAAAATATCACGATCAGCACCAAGGAAATCAAAATCAGCGACAAATTAATAATGGAGAAGGGCCACTCGGGTTTAACCATTCACAGTTCGGGGCACAAAAAGCCCGTGCTACTTTTATGGGCCGGTAACATAGGCGTACATCCAACGGCCCAATTCTGAAAAGAAGTGACTCCAAATTTTTTTTTATAGCTTATTTTCACAATATCACCCTGACTTTTGGGGCCGACTATTGCATAAAATTATCTGAACTTTATAAATCATAGAAGTTCCTCACGTCAACTATTGCTAAATCACATTGGCTTGTTTGTTTGCATAGAAATACGTAAAGGTTAACCCTACTACTTCCAAACAAACAAATTTGTTTGTTTCTTTGAAAAGAAAAAAAAAATCTACTCCTACTACTTTCTTAAATGATGATGTGTTGCTCCTTAAAAGTCTTTTTTCATCTATCGTAGCTCTCGGATGTAGCTAAAACATAAGTCAATCAGGAATAGATCAAATTTTAATTTATGTGAATATCTTCCATTTCTAAATAAAATCAACAAATATCTTATTTCTCTCTCTTTAGCAAGGTGTACAATGACTATCCAAAAAAATTAATAATAAATAAGAAGAAATACAATTTCTGCTTCTTTCAGAAATTTGAGAAACAAACAGAAGTATTGTTACTCTTGTTATGTTCTGGTTCATAATTTTAGAAGTTACTTTATTTGATCTACTTCTTACTTTTTCACGTTCGCCTGTGAAAATTCTCTGAACTTTATAAATCATAGAAGTCCCTCACTTCAAATATTGCTAAATCACATTGGCTTGTTTGTTTGCATAGAAATATGTAAAGGCTAAGCCTGCTACTTCCAAACAAAGAAATTTGTATGCTTCTTTGAAAAAAAATTCTACTTCTAGTACTTTCTTAAATAATAATGTGTTGCTCCTTAAAAGTCTTTTTTCATCTCTCGTAGCTCTCGGATGTAGCTAAAACATAAGTCAATTAGGAATAGATCAAATTTTAATTTATGTGAATATCTTCCATTTCTAAATAAAATCAACAAATATCTTATTTCTCTCTCTTTAGAGATGTGTACAATGACTATCCAAAAAAATTAATAATAAAGAAAAAGAAATACTATTTCCGCTCATTTGAATTGTTATTCTTGTTATGTTCTGGCTCATAATTTTAGAAGTAACTTTATTTGAGACAATGATGGGTTTGTCTCAATGCGTCACATATAGAATATGTGTCCACTTAAAGCAACCACTTTGTGCAGAAGAGATATGATAAAGGGATTTTATGCAAAAACCCCATATGTTGAGGGCTACTTTATAAAAACAAAATTGTATTTACTTTATGTTTTTTCTAACTCACTAATTGAAGGAATCCTCATACCAAATACATTGATGTCTTGTGATGAGACTAAGGTATGCTATTAACTTATTATTATCGGAACTTTCTGATACATAATAGTTAAATTAGGGGGGTAGATAAATCCAAAGGCATGAGCATGTGTTATTTAACCAATGACCAACAACTACGGAGGTGTTTATCCTTTAAATTATTCTTCTTGCTAAAAGTTATGCCTTTTGTGCCCACGCTACAAAATTAGAAAAAATATCATCCTATTGCATGTAATCAATTGCAAATGTGAAACCAACTCTAGAATCTGAATTCCTTATCTTGACCCTTTATATGTTAAGAAACATATCCTCTTCTATCTCTATAGTATATTCCTTTCTATGCTTTAAGAAACATATACTTTTTTTTCCTATATATTCCCTTCTATCCTCCTGAATTTTTTATACGGGCATTTGTGCCCAAGGAGTAGGAGGGTTTGGGGGTTTTGATTGGAAAAGAAAAGCAATATAAAATATATAAATAAACAAAATGATTCTATATTTGTTTAGTAAAACCCCCCTAGGATTTCAGCTAATTTCATAATCTATAGGCTAGAATGCAATTGAACGGAATCAAATGTTGAGTTACTAAGGTGTATTCTCCTATGATCTTGTACTTCTAATTTGAGGACAAGTCTCTTCCAAAATACTCCCTGAATATCCGAAAAAGCTATAGAGTTTAGGTGCTGGTCCTAACTGTTATTTAAACTCGTCATTCTTTTTATCCTATCCAATGTAGTGCTATAGTCATATTAATAATCTCAATAACAAAAAGACAAATGCATCAAAGCAAATCGTATTAATCAAATGAATCGAAATATGTTAATGCTTATATTACACATATTTCTGGAAAAAAAATATAACGAGTCTCACCAAATGAACTTCTAAGTTGAACGTGTGTAAATAATAAAATGAAATGTAAAATTCATAAAACATAACTTTGTAACTTCTAGAAAAAAACACTACTATCAAGGATGACACATCGAGTTTAAGCTGTTATGAGCTCTCCAGACAAAAAGAGAAGACATTTGTTTTGGAGAAATCGCGTGGCCTAAGGGCATCTCCAACAGCTTCTCTAAAATTTTCTCCAAAATGGGGAAACAAAAGTCATATTCTTCAAATTATTTTTACACTAACTCCAACAACTTCCTCATTTTGAAGAATCTCTTTTTTCCTCCAAAAATTTGGAAAATACTGCAGATTTGGGGAAGCTTCCCCATTTTTTTCTCCTCCAT